TACAATGTACCAATAAAAGAATTTAATACAAAAAAAAAAGTAGAACTTGTTCAAATTAATCACATTTGCTAACTTAACCTAGATTTGAAAGTTTTAAATATTATCAATTATGCAAGTAGAGCTAAACTAATAACCTACAAGGTGTGTAACATCTGTCAGTACTTGGGAAGGAAGTAGGAGCTCAAGAACAAAAAACCGTTAATGTTTGAACAATACAAAGAAAATGTTATGCTTTCCAGACTGAGGGCTCTATACAACATGTAGAAGATCCAAAAAGTCCTTACTTTCAGAAAAAGAGCTAGAGATAGACTCTTTCCCTGAAAATAAGATCTAACTGGAAAATAACCAGCCTTGAAAACTAGAGATCAAAAATGCCAGCCCCTATCAGCCTATCTTTGCCTTACCTGCCATCACTGTTCTCTTGCTTGGCAGCTAGTCTGAAAGGCAGGTAAGGCCAGGACAGACTAATTGGGGCTGGGATTTTCAATCTCTAGTTTTCAAGCTAGGTCTTCTTTTCCAGCTAGGTCTTATTTCCAGGGAAACACAGTATATAGAGGTAGGACTAAAAGGAGACTTCACACTTGTGGCTACCTGTCATATGGACTTTTTCTAGAATTATGGCACACACCTAAGCACACAAACTTGTAAATCAGATTCTCCAAGCTTGAAATCTAAGTCTTCCTTATCTGTGAAAGCTTTGTCTGTTATTTAAAATAAGCCTGTTTCCTCATATGTAAAAAGTAATGTTCGTAGAACTAGTAGGGTTATTGTAAGAATTGAACAAGATACTGTACAGAGCATTGGTACACAGAATATAGCCAATAAGAGTTGGCCATTGTTTTAAAATCCTTGTAGACCTCAGATACAATGAAAGTTTCCCCTTAAGTGATAGGTATCTCTATCCTAGTTATTTCCTTGATGAATACAGTATTGCAGTCTGTCCACTGTAATATATGTTCCTGGAACACCAATTAGCTCACTTAACAATGGGAAGACAGGGGAATGATAACAGTATAACCTGAAAGTTGTGTTGTTTCACATGTATTTCTTCCAAAGCAAGGGAAGCTGAGATAGCAGAGGAGAATGAAAACTTCAGTAGGAAAGGCTGAGCATGGCTTTCTGTTGTTTTTCTCCCCTTTTAATTTCAAATGAACACCTGCACTTGCAGCTCCTCCTCAGAGAAGCACACCCTGGGCTTACAAGTTCCAGGCTGCAGTTCCCCTGTGCCTACCTTCAAAGAAACACTGGCTCACAGAACCCAAAGTCAGAGAAACTACTCTATTATTTTTTGTGCATTTCTAACATTGCCTGAAGCAAATTTTGGTATTATTGAGCTGCTTGCCTTGGCTTCCAAGGTATCTATTAAGGTGCCAATTATTGTTTCTGGTGGTAGGCCAATTACAAAGTTGTTGCTTTTAACCCTATTTTTTCCCATAAACTCTGTTAACTTTATTATGTGATTTTGCAGAGTGTGAGGTTTTTCAGGAATGCAATACAATATTTTAACAGATGCTCAGTTATTTTCAAATGCTGCAGAAGGCAGCAACAACTGAAGCAAAGACATGTAAAGGAAGTGAATAAGCCCATCCTTGGGCTGCATGATGTGTTTGGTAGAATTCCAGGCTGCAAAACTGGCTTAACAAGCTCTGAGTTCCACAGCCTCTGAATGTACTTCCTCCCCCAGGACACCAAATCATGATGCTCAGCCCTGCCAATAACGTAGAAACAACCCTGTTTCTTGCGTTTCTCCTTCAGACCGAGAGTGTGTAGTAGCATGGATTAACTACATATATTTCTGAATAAAATCTTTCTCTTCACTTTCTTAGAAATTGTTTATAGAAGTGTACTTTGATTCTCCCTGTTTTCCCCAGGCTTACATACTTCCTACCTCCCAAGAATTCCTGTGAGAATTTGTTTCTTTCTATACTGAAGCACTAATCACATTCTGCCTCTTATCTAAATGTGTGTGTGTGTGTGTGTGTGTGTGTGTGTGTGTGTGTTTTACCTCAGTTTAACCAAAAGTTCCCTGAAGGCAGGGACTTTATCTGCTTCATCTCTATATTTCCTCCCTATTACCCAGCACTATGTCTTTCCCATAGCAAGTACTTAATAAGTTTGCACACAATGAGCAAGTTCCTCCAGAACCACTGCTTTTTTACTTAGGCTCTTTTTGTGAAGAGTATCTAACAAAAGTGTACTAAGAATTGCATGCAGTACTTAGAAGACATGGTTTTGCATTAAAATTTTCCTGTAACATGATGATTGGAAACTATTCTGGGAAAGTAAGGACCAGGAAGCAATGTAAGAACAACTTATGTGAAATATTTTATTCATAGGTTTAAAAAATTAATAAGCAACAGACAGGAATTATTTAATTTGGCTGCTCTGATAGTTCCTGCTTCTCTTTCCAAGGCTCTGGAGGTTGAACAGTTTCCCAAGGGAATACAAATTCAGAACAAACCTCAAGGTGATTACTGCTGAGATAGGAAACTTGCTGCCAAATGGCAGGGTTCTGTGTTGACAGCAAGGAAAACATGTGGGCCTGGAGTGATGGGATGGGCCCTGCTGCTTTGACTGAAACAAGCTCCATTGTTCCCCTCTCCTTGGTGAGTGCTCAGGTATCTGTTTAGCCCTCTCCTTAAAACTTTAATAATAAACAAAATAAAATTTTAATAATGAACTTACAGTAAATAGCTACAGGTGAAATTATTTATAGTAAAAAGTAATACTTGAATAGCCCTTTATAAAATATACAATATTGACAGTTTCATTTAATCCCCAAACAAGCCATTTACGTTAGTTTGCTGGGGAAGTCATAATGAAATACCACAAACTGGGTGGCTCAAGCACCCACATTCTAGGAATGTATTGTCTCACATTCTAGAGGCTGGAAGTCCAAGATCATGGTGTCTGCTTAGCTGGTTCCTTCTGAGAGCTGTTCCACCCCTCTCATCCAGCTTCTGGTGGCTTGCTGAAATCTTTGGTATTCTCTGCCTTACAGATCTCTGCTTTCATCTTCACACAGTGTTCTCCCTATCTGTAATTGTGTCTTTGTCTAAATTTCCCCCCTTTTAATTGTATTTATTACTACTTTTTTGACATAGGATCTTGCAATTTTGCCCAGGCTGGCCTCAATCCACTGGGCAAAAGGAATCCTCTACCCTTAGCTTCGTGAATAGCTTGGATTACAGGTGCATGTCACCATACTCAACTAAAGTTCCTCTCTTTATAAGGACTCCATTCGTACTAGATTAGGGGCTATCCTACTGCGGTTCTACCTCATCTTAACTAATTATAACTGCAATGACCCTATTTATAAGTAAAGTCACATTCTGTGGGACTAGGGGTTAGGACTTCAACATATGAATGGCAGGTGCATGCAACCTTAACAATTCTATAGTAAGAAAAACAAGAATTTCTCCTATCCTCATTTTACAGATAAAGAAACTGAGTCTCAGAGAGATGAAGTAATTTACCCAAAGTAAGTGAAACCCCTACATCACAAATGCAAAGCTGCTGTCTAGCTCAGCAGTCAAGGACAGCCACATGATCCCTCTTGCTATGAGTTTGTCCATCTGTTCTCACACACCTGGGCCAGTAAGAATGGAGGCTGCAGAGGTCTGAAGAGCAGAAGTGCTCAAATACTGTCTTCCTCTGGAAGCTTCTAGCAGGTTTTCTGTGACTGAGAGCTCCACTTGCTGCCCCTATGGCTGCACCTTATAAGGGCTTGACCTCCAGGGGAACTATTTAGTCAAGTTATTTCTCCTAAGTCTGTTATTCCTCTCTGGTGGACCCACCCACCAGCCAAAGGGAGTTAGGTGCAATGAAACTCTTCAGGGAAGAAAGCAAAATGCTCCACACTTTTCTTTTTTTCTCTATGGCTTCTTTCTTTGCCTCCCTGTGCCTTTCTTTTGTCCTGACCATTGAGGCACCTCAGAGTGGGTGTGGGGAGTGTGTGAATTGCCAGCAGCGTGAGAGGGTGGCTGAGGACACCTACCTGATGATGTATATGCTAGGGCAGGCAGCAGAGCACACCCTCTTCATCCTGTGTCTGCTATTCTGCTTCAGTCACTCTCAGCTAAAGCTAACCCCCCCTAGAGCATAGGTTCCCCTACACAGAGAGGAGGGATGTACCCCATCTGTGGGCCTACTCCCTTGGGAAGCAGTGTAGGAAGTAAGTGTGTGCAGATTTGGGAGACAGATTTTAATCTTAGCTCTGCCACCTGCAAACTACATGATTTTAGGGAAAATGCTTAATCTCCCTCTGTCACTTCATGTATAAAATGGAGATGATAATTTTGTTTACTTCATAAGGTTACTGAATGGATAAATGATATAAGCTACAAATGGTGCTTGAAACAATATATCTACCACATGATTCTAGCAATAGTTCCTTACATGTTTATTTTATTTTTCAAGTATAATTTTATTATATGTTAATTAAAATTATAAGGATACCCATCAAAGACTTAACGGTGGTTGTGTCTGGATGATGGACTTTCAGGTTGTTTTACTGTCTTATTTTTGATTATACTTTGTAACTGTCTATAATAAAAATGTATTACTTTTTAATAAGAGTGTACAAACTCCCACTGAAGACCTATGTGGTACAGTGGACTAGGTGTGAGTAAGTACAAAGTGGAGAAGACATGACCATTGTCCTTAATGGGGCTTAAAGTCTACAGAAAGAGGCAAGCCAGATAGGCAGATGATACAAGAGGGTGAGTAGGAGTGCTAAGGGTAGCCTAAGAATGAGACTAGTTCCCCACAAGAGGCAGTAAGCATTATAGAGGGATTATCATTAGTCTTACCCGCAGGGGGACCCTCAGAAGGACAAGGATAGAATTGCTGAGATTCTTTCTAAGGTACATATTTCTAGGAAGGGGGTTATGTAGAAGAAAAGTTGAGATGCCTTGTGTAGTACATATATATGACAAATATGTACCAGGTAACAAAGTAGTAAGAATTAATTTTCTGTTTCTCTGTCCCTTTTTTCGTAGCATTATTAGCATCATCATTATTCTGGCTGGAGCAATTGCATTCATCATTGGCTTTGGTATTTCAGGTATGTGATTTCTTGCATTACCGCAATCCATTCACTCCACATCACTAAACCTCTAATAAATCATTCAATGTGATAGTGTGGAAGAATACAGAGCTTGGACCCAAAAAACTTAAGAGTAAAGCACTGGTTCTTCTACATGATGTGTTCTCATCACCTTAGTCATTTAATTCCTTGTGCCACAGTTTCCTCATTTTTAGAGTGGAAAAATAATGGTCACTCAACAGTCAATTGAGAGAATCAGGTGAGAACATTATCAGTAGTCTACCCACCAGCCAGGGCTGAGGATATTATTTTGGGAACATATGAAAAGTAATGTGCCTAGGCCATTCTATCAGTGGTTGCCTGGATAGATGATTTCCTTTCAATGAACTTTAGCCAAAGTTTTAAAGACTATCAATTGTTTTTACACAGGCGTCTTAGGGAAAGAGAAAACTGGCCATGACTATTGTGCCACGTAGGAAAGAAATGCCATTGTGATGTCAGTTGCAGAATGTCTTCTCTTTCCTCTTCTGTGTAAGACATTTCTCTGAAACATCTCTCATGAGTTAGGCCAGAGGCTGTCTTCTCTGAGGCAAACTGTTTACTCTATTTCCTGTAAGGCCAACACGTTCATTTTAACTTTGTGACTAACTCTGTCACTAAATACCTTTAGTTTTTATAGTTCCAGCTGCCTTTCCTGTCAACTCTCCTTCAGTGTGGATATGCTGCCAATCAACAGTGGTTGCAAGGCCTAAATTAAGAAAACTAGCTATATGCTCTTGCCAAGGAAAGACATTAGCACTTTTCCTTATTTTATCATCAAAAATATCATTTTGTCCATTTTTACTAGATATTTTTTCTTTTGAATTTATAAGAATTCTTTATATTAGTTGCTGCAAATTGCCCAGATGTATTGCTAAATCTCTTCCCTATAGTTTGCTTTTTCATCCTCTTAATAATAATCTTTCAATTAACAAAAGTTCTTAATTTTCACTTAGTCTAATTAATTTCTTTTATGCATGGGGAATTTTAAATTTGTAATCTATTTAAAATTGTTATGTTTATCTCAAAGTCAAAAAAGATTTTCTTCTAAGTTATATCATAGCAGCTGTGTAGTTCTGCCTTTCACCTATATACTATGAACCATCTAGAATTAATTTTATGGTGCAAGATCAGGGTCAAGGTTCAAATTTTTCCTGTGATTTTTCCAGTAGACTCAGCACCATTATACTGTCCTTTACCACTTTTCACCAGTACCACCATTGTCCTAAATCAAGTATCTGTACAAGTGTGGATCCATTTCTGAGCTTGCTAATCAGATTCATTCTAACACACATGCCCCTTCACTTACAGTGAAGTTACATTCCAATGAACTCATTTTAAGTTGAAAATATTTTCAGTTGAGAATGCATTTACTATACCTAACCTATCAAGTAACACAGATTAGCAACACAATATCTACAGCAACACTGTAGATAACAGCGTGCCAGCAGTTTACCCCTGTGTTCCTTGGGCTGACTGGGAGCTATGCTCACTGGTGGTAGCCCATGATCATGACAGAGTATCATAACACACGCCACTACTCCAGAAAAAGATAAAAATTCCAAAGTCAGAGTCTAGTTTCTACTGAATGTGTATTGCTTTTGCGCCATCATAAATCATCATTGCAAGCTGAACCATCATAAGTCAGGGAGTGTCTGTATTCCTTTATAATTCATTTTCTTTGTATTTATGTTATTTTACCTTTTTTTTCTATTCCTAATTTCCTCTTTCCCCTCTCTTTTCTTTCTCTTCATCCCTCCCTCCCTCCCTCTCTCCTCCCCATTTCCTCTTCTTCCTTCTGCCTTCCATCTCTTTAAAATAGGTTTATAAAGTTACAGGTATTATTAGCTTTACAATTTTCAAAGAACCAGCTTTATGTTTACTTATACTTTTCCTGACTTGTTTTCCTCTTACTGATTTTGACTTTTTAACGTTTTGTAATGCTCTTCTCCTTGCTTTATTTGGCTGCTTTTTAATTTTTCTCATATATTTAAATAAGCACTCCATAGGTAAACATGTCCCAAAAAAGCCAATAAACAACTTTTAGTAAATACTGCCGTTCAATTTTCCAAAGTCATTTACCAATTTGTACTTACCCAGAAGCTTATAAGAGATCCAGTGCTTATGTCCTCTCCTATACTGGATATTGGAGAATGTCGTGGTTCTAATGTTTCCTGTGGCTGAAGAGTCTGAGTACATTTCCATATGAGAAACATAACACTGAATGGCAGTGCCAAAGATTATGTTCTGTATGAGTCCATGAACACAAAGTTCATAAACAGGCAAATAAGCCTCTGCTGTTAGAAAGTAGCATAATTGGAGAAGAGTGAGAGGGCAGTGTCGAAGAGGGAGCATAAAGGAGGTGCTAAGAGGATAATAAAGTTTTTATCTCTTGGTGTGGTGAAAGAAAGTTATTACAATTTTTCAAGCTGTACAGTTATGATGTGCAGACTTTTATATGTGTGTTATACCTAAGTACAGAATTTTATATAAACATTTATGAATACTCTTTATAAGAAAATAAAAATATGGAGTGTAAAACAAAGACTTCGGAGAATTTTTAAAGATATTAGTCCAAAGGTACAATTGGTAACTTCCTAAGACTTAACTCCTCCTTAATTATCATTGACCCTATCCCTGATCTTATACATCACCTTGAATTAAAACCGAAGGGTTTGTGCTTCACTTTTTATCTCGGTGACTGAACCTACTTGGGCCTAGGCTGACTGGCTTGGTATCAAAACTCTCATAGAGTTGTTTATCTTCTGGTTGCTGGTGGATCTGACTACTCCAGCGAGAATTTTACACTGTCACAGCTTTCCTGAGTCAGTCAGCACTTTTACTACTTATACCTTTTCCTGTTGTATATATAGTGCTCAAACACAGCTAGAACTTGTCTCATGCTCAAGTACAGATAGCGACCTCAACTACTGAGCTTATTTTTTTACTGCAGAGAACTCTACTCATTAAGTGCTTTTTGAATAAATAAATGCATAACTGAGTGCAGGATGAATAGATAGAAGTCACAATCTACTCAATGTTGTAATGTACAATAATATTAAAATCTCATTACTGGAATTAAAGAGGTTTTCTGCTTTCTTCATATTTCACAGGGTGAAAGCTGCTTAGTTTGGATAAAATGAGCTATTTATTAGTTTAATACTACTTAGTTGGATTATTTCAGTTGCCTACATTAAGCCCATAACCTTTATGAGAGAGCATCATATTATCATACTTTAAATGAATTCACTAAAATATTAGCTGGTTTAATATATAACACACTGAAATTAAGCAAATAGCAGTATGTAGATGATGATGATGATAATATCTTTGATCCCTTCCTTCATGTATCTCACTTTAATAAGTAACTGCATATATTATCTGATTTACTATTCACAACAAGAGGAGATAGATATTATCACCATATCCAAATAATAAACTCACATAGAGCCATATGCAGCTAGCAAGCGGACATGACTGTGTTTCAAGTGGTGGTGACTGGTTTCCAAACACACTCTCCGACCTACTACCCTGTCCCAATGAGAATATTCACACAGAGATGTGGCAGAGAAGAGGGCAGGAGGAAACTACTTGCCTTTCAGGTATCACTCTTGGTTTGCCTTGCAGGCATTTATTCCTGAGACCACAGAATTTAAAGACTTGGAAATATTCAAAAATACCGAAAAAAAATCTATAACTTTGTAATTCGATTGCTACCTTCTCATAGCCATCCAACTCTATAAATTCTAACTATGCGCCCTATAAAACATTAAATATATTTGAAGTGAATTGTTGGTAAGAGGTTGAGGTTGAGCTCCTGTTAAAGAACAGCCTTTGTAGACGGCCCTTCTGGAGAGAGGGAGATACAGTGGAAAGAAAGGCCCCTGACCATAATTAGCCCAGTCACTATGCAATCACCCTCATATGGCGGACTGAACAATGTGGAGAATGAGTTTAAGAATTAGAGATACACCAATATCAGGAATGATGACTTTATGTCCTTTGGAAGAAACTTTCCTTACTGGCACAGGCTTAGTGCCAGATGGGGCTGGGTTTGATCTGCTGCTTGTATTAGTCGAGCCATGTAACCTCACAGAGCTTTTTTATCCTCATTCATAAAGTGATATAATAGCCATTCTTACCTAGGGCTCTGATCTTCTATCTTTCCAAATGATTGTAGATAGTAATGGTTGTTGATGTTAGTGATTTAAGGTTTAACATGACAGGTCAACCAGATAAGAATGTTATTTGCATTGTATCATTTAGTCCTTTCAGAAACTCTCTATGGGAGTGTTTTCATTGTACAGATGAAAAATAAAGAGTTTTATAAAGCTCCCCGAGGTCACATATCCAATAGGTGGCAGAGCTGGGATTTGAACCCAGTCAGCCTGATACCCATGACATGTTCTCAAACACTACACTCTGCTGCTTCCTGAGGTTGTTCCCAGTATCCTTCCTAATTTCTTCTTACATGAGCAACTATATTCCCAAGCCCATCCTATTCTTTGGCAAGAGTGACTCTCACAGGTGCCGCTCCAGTTTCCAGTCATGTTTCTGCTTTACACAATGTTCTGTTGTGCCTGTCCAGACAGCCAGGTTTGAGCCGATCCTGAATGCCCATCTGTTTTTTGAAGGCTTCTAGCATGCTTTATATGCTATGGGAATGCACAGAACTTGTCAAAGGACAGTTCATTTCCCAGGTTTCAGCCAGTGCTATAGGGTGCCCTAGAATCATTATTTCTTAAAAAAGAATTCTTGCCTTGTATTACCAATGCTGCCGCTCTTCAAGATATTCTTGCTTATCCACCCCCTCTCTTCACACAGACCAGAACTGTGGCAGTAATTACCTCTCACAAGAGGTATAATTCATTTTCAAAAAGAATCTAGGTTTTTCCCATTTTAAAGTGGCTTGATGAAATCCTTATACTTTTTTTTCCGGTACTAGGGGTCAAACTCAGGACCTTGGACTTGCGAGGCAGGTGCAGCACCACTGAGCTAAATCCCTGGTCCTTGATACAACCTTTAAATTTGTGCCTGTTTTAACAGAATTGTACATCAATGGGTAGCATCCCCTAAGCCATCTTCATAGGGCCCTTTGTGTCCTTTGGCTCATCAAATCACACAGGAGCCTCAGGTGGTCAGTAGGCCTGGAAAGTCGTACCAAGCCAGTCTGCATAATGCTCTTTATGCAACTCCTATGCTAATACTATATCTGCTTGCAAATTTAAATACAAACTTGTTTGGTTTTTCTTTCTTACACTACTGGTATTGAACCTAGGGAACTGAGATATCCTCGAACCCTTTTTATTTTTTATTTTTAGACAGGGTCTTGCTAAGATGCCCAGACTGGCCTCAAACATGGGATCCTCCTTCCTCAGCCTCCTAAGTAGCTGGGATTACAGGCATGAACCACCACACCTGACTTAAGATTCTTTTTCATAAGAATATTTACATGCTATTGCTTGTACCTTAAATATCATTTTATTATTTTTAATAATCATTCATTAATTTAACAAACAAGTATTTATTGACTCTTTTTGGGGTGCAAAGCAATGGCTAGGTCCTCATTGCTTTTTAAAGTTCTCACTGGCTTTTATCCCTCTTTATTTGATATGGAGGAGAGATTTACTCAACATTGTACTCAGTCCATCTGCCATATCATTAATGCAGCCTTAAATGACTAGAACCTTCAGTAGGTCCCTGGGGCACTTCACAGCTGCTTAGTTTTAATAATTAAATTCTCTAGGAGATTCTTCCATGGATTCTTTACTGGTGGGCTCGAGGCCAACATATTAAAATTAATTCAGTAACACAATTACAAACTGAAGATTTGTCATTATCATTTAATTTTCTCCATAAATTGTACAATCATGGATTTTTTTCTGAAAAGTAATTTTTCAATTTAACTTCAATGGCACTTTATAACCACAATCAAATTTACCCTTGCTCTAACATAGTTACATTTGCTCCATGAATTTAGGAATCACTGTGTGTTTTTATGCTTTTTTTTCTACCTGCTCACATTTCCCCAAAATTTAGATGTACTGATCCTGCCAAATGTTTCCTACTCTCACAATAGATAGATGATTTCAAACAGTGCTTTGATTTTTACATATTCCCATTTATTCATTCATTTATTCAAGCCCTCAGCAAATACTTTTCTCTGTAGAAACATAGCATGAGGCATTATAGGACGTATAGATATGATTGATACAGTTTCTGTCCTTCAAAGACCTTACAAATCAGTGTAAGAAACAGTCTAGAATCAAGGAGGTGAGGACAGCTGCTGTAATAAAGGCAAAATAAAGTATTAAAGGAGAGTACAGAGAATATCTACAAATTTTGTATTGATAGATTAAAAGAAGATTTTATGGAAGGACTGCCCTCTGAACAGATCTGAATAGAACTAGAATATGGATGACTGGTGATAAAGGAGAAGGAGGGACTCTGATCTGTAGGTGGCAAGATGAGCAGGGCTATAAAGGTGCATCGTGTGAGTGTATAACCCATGCTGGTCGAGGTTGCATTGGATATAAGTTTGATAAATAAAAATAACTGAAAAGCAAACTTAATCATTACAGTAGTCAAGAAAATGTCAAGGCAGGAGATGGTGTGTATGATATTCATATTACACAGCAAAAATTTCATATTATTCTTGTTCATAGTTTATCTCTCAAATCTCCCCCATGAATGGCCAAGCATGGTGGATGCTTCCAGGCTCTTTTTCTCCCACACTTCCAAGCCTCCAGCACATTCTCACAACCCAGCCAGTGTACCAGTCTTTGTTTCCACTGCCATTATTTTCTAGTTAAAATTGTTTTCTATCCATAGGTCTTTGTTCTTTCTTAGGCAACTCTATCAAGCTTAGATTCTTCAGTTCTATCTGTATTGTTCATTACCCTCATCTACTCTTAATGCTATCAGATGTGTGTTTAAAAGATAGGCAGAGATTGGACCATCAACTAGACCTGAACACTGTCAGGATCCAAGACAGCTCTCAGATTGGAGGACTCTTAATTTTTCTCTGCATGGTCTCTTTCCCACACTTGTTTGTGTTTGCTCCTCTCTCCTCTCAGGCTCCAAGGCCATCCTCTCCTCAGCTTCACATCCAAACCACAGGAGCCTCTCAAGAAGATTCAGTTAAGGTGCCTCATTTCTTTGAGCGTGTCCTAAATCTATCTCTAATAAATCCTTCTCATGTCTCTTTTTTAAAAACAGAAGATCCAGTTAATTAAATCACCCCATATGTGTCCTCAGCCAACAGCCTCCAATACACAAAGAGCAGCTAGTTGATCCTTCTAAGACTGAGTAGGCTATAGGCTGAATATTGGAGTAAGAGGCAATGGGACCATAATAATTGTACTGGTGGTATATTCAGAGAGGAGGGGATGGCTTTGACCATGCACCAAACATCAACTGAATTAAGTACCAGTCTTCATTATACTATAGCTAACACTATAATTTTAACCAGGTTGCTTATCTTCTCTATGCCTTAGTTTCCTTATCATTCAAACAGAGATACAGTAAAGTATTGGCACTTCAGAATTTAGTGTTCACCCAAATTACAAGCCAAATTCAGTCAACCTCATGCTTCATTTTGTGCCACAGAATAACAATATCTTATAATATGCAATTACAGTTTGCAAATCAAGTTCACATCCATTTGATTTGATTCTCACAAGAACCCCATAAGGTAGATAAGACAGATGTTATCTCCACATTTCTGAGATTCAGAGTAGTTATATGACTTATTCAAAATCACACTGCATTTAGTAACAAAGCCAAGAATGAATTCTCATCTTCATATCCAATGTGTTTTCCTCTTGCTGCTTCTCAAGGTTTGGGCTGATTGTTCTTGCAAAAGCTATTGTAAGATTGCAGATCTGTTGTATGTATCAAAATTATTGTTTTCCTGCTCTTTCTATTCCCTACTTCCTTTTTTAAATATTTTTCCTGTTCTTCTATATTTCAAGTTTATCACAGAAATATGTTTGGCTTTTAGCAATAGAATTTAGTTGTTGAAGCTCCAAGGCTTCCTTTGGCATTGATCCTTGCTTCCTGAATTGCAGGGAAACACTTTATCACAGTCACTACCTTTACCTCAGCTGGGAACATTGGAGAGGATGGAATCCTGAGCTGCACTTTTGAACCTGATATCAAACTTAATGATATTGTGATACAATGGCTGAAGGAAGGTGTTATGGGTTTGGTCCATGAGTTCAAAGAAGGCAAAGATGACCTGTCAGACCAGAATGAAATGTTCAGAGGCCGGACAGCAGTGTTTGCTGATCAAGTGATAGTTGGCAATGCTTCTCTGAGACTGAAAAATATTCAACTCACAGATGCTGGCACCTACCAGTGTTACATCATCACTTCTAAAGGCAAAGGAAATGCTAACGTTGAGTATAAAACTGGAGGTGAGTTACTTCTGGGGAGAAGGAAGGAAAGTACCAAATGATATTTGAACCTAAAAAGCATGACTTGCTGATAAAATATGCGCTCACTAATGACTAATGTCAAAGAAAACCCCTCCCGATTCTGTTAGTAGCCATCTTGCTATTATGCTCAAGACCAACCTCCAAAGTAGTCCACTATACTATTAGGACTTTAAATCTTTTGTTCTGTGTTCTCACCACTTCTAAACTTCCAGATGTGTTCCCTAAAATACTTTACCAAAATAAATGTAGTCTCCTTATGGTAGCCCTTGCTATTGTTAATAAATGAAACCTATTGGCCTTGGTTATTTCCATGCTAGTTAGGTCTGAGCCCACATCTGAAACAAGTACCTTGAGAACTCATAAGAGTAGAACCCATTTTAGGAGAAGTTCAAAAGGAACTAACCTAAACCATATTGGCCTATAAACTCAGTAGTACCCTCTCAATGAAATTCACCCTCCCTTGCCAACCTAATTTGTTTCTGAATTTATGTGTAAGGAATTTATGTACAGGATAGATACACTGAGGGATATAAAAAGATAAGAAAACAAAGATGATTTTTTGCAGAGCTCCTAGTGTAGCTCTTACAGAGTTGAAAATTCTGGCAGGGATAACAATTGATAAAGCGTATCAAATGCTTTAAGAGAAATATAAATAAAATGACTCAGGGACTTAAATGAAGAGAGATATTGCATCTAAATGCACATTAGAGAAGGAGGAGGATACCTCCATGGATAAGTTGGTATTTGAGAGGAGGCCTGAAGGATAGGCAGAAAGTATCCTGAACTTGCTAAGCCTAGACTAGTCTGTACAGACCTTTCTTGAACACCTCCTACCATGTACATGTAATGATTCAAAGCATGGCTCTAGAGTCAGACCTGGGCAAGCACAGCGGCCTGGACAAAACAACCTCTCTGAATCTCAGTTTCTTCACCTTAAGGTGAAGACTACTCTGGCCATGTCAAAGGGACACTACTGAGGTCAGCTTAAAGAGCTTCCAGTGGCAAAACTGGAACAACTTAAGCAATAAAATAATAAAATAATGAATTATAACTCAGAGTATAAAATGAATACATGAGTCAATACTCATGTAAATAAATGAGGGGAAAGAAATAAATCTTCAAATAACTTATATAGCTCTCTTCCTCTCTAGGCAGTTGAGCTTAACACCTTTCCCACCCTTCTCAACATATTTTGGAATAGTGGCGTGCAGCTTTTAAAGAATTTGGCAAAAAACCTCAGCCAAGTGATCAAGAGTAACATCACCAGTGATCAGTCATGTTGATAGCATGTACCTTCCAATGTGGTCTGAGAAGGAAACTCCTACAGTCTTCTTCTCCAAAAGTTCAGCCTAATTATGAGAGAAGCATCAAACCAATAGGTTATCCTACAAAATACCTGACCAGGGGGCTGTGGATTTAGCTCAGTGATGCCTCCCCCTGCCTTGCAAGCGCAAGGTCTTGTGTTTGATCCCCAGTACCAAAAAAACAAAAAGCAAAAAAAACCTGACCAGTATTACCAAAACTGTCAAGGCCATGAAAAAACATAAAAAGATTGAAAAAAATGTCACAATCCAGAAGATCCTAAGGAGACATAATGACTAAAAGCATTGTGATATCCTAGATAGGATCTTAAAACAGAAAAAGGCATTAGTAGAAAAAGTGGTAAAATATAAGCAAATTTAGATTGAGTTAATAGCAACATACTAGTGACAATTTCTCCATTTTTACAAATGTACAATGGTTAAGATGTTAACATTAGAGGGAATTAGGTAGGAATATACAGAAACTCTCTTTTAACTATCTTTGTAAATTTTATGTAAACCTAAAATTATTTCAAAGGTTTATTTTTATATAGGGATAATGGATATTCACAGGATTGTTGTGAGGATCAAAAGAAAGAATGCCTGAAATATAGTACGGCCACAAAGTACATTCTCAATAAGTGGTGGTTCATTGTCACATACACTTAGTTCCACAAAGCATATCCCAGGAGCTTTTTCCCTACCTGCTTCAAGCATGTGAGTCTTGTTTCCCTTGATAGTTAATAAGCTCATTAAGGGCTAGGTAAAGTCTTTTATGCTCAGCAATAGTTCAATGCTTGGCAAAGGAAGATATTATAAATAAATTAAATGTATCTTAGCATTTTGTAATAATGAAAGTCCTGGCCTTAACATTTTTCTACAAGTATATCTCTACCTAGATATAGAGGAAAACTAGACTTAATTTCAAATTTTCCTGCTCAGTGAGGAGAATTATTTTAGAAGACAACAAAGGCCTATTTCTATACTTGGACACAAGGGCTATACAATCTTTACCTAAGCAAACTCCAAATCTCCATGATGACAAGGCCTGTGTATGGAATTCCTGCAGTGACAGGTGAATGCTGCTTATTTCTTCCTTATTCCTCTTCCTCATCACCCTAACTCTATCCTCAAGGCAGAAAAATATACAAAACCCATAAAATGCCACAAAGTTCTAAAAAAGTTCCAATTTTTCTAAGGAATAAGCTTTTTATAATCACTGGAGCTTAGAGAAAATCATTCTTACTTAGAGAAAATTATCTGTTTTGACAATAATTTACCTAGAACATGGGTCCTTGGGGTTTGTAATATTGGTCAAAGAGTTGTGATGTATAGTGATACTATGAGCAAACTGCATCTTCAATACAATGGGCCATACACAGACAATACCCTGGGAAAATAAAGAGTCATCTCAGTTATAAAAATGGCTGGTTTTTTTTTTTAATTCACTAAGTTTATTGATACATTTTAGGTATACATTATAATCACATTCATCATTGGGAATTTATATCTGTATGTGATATATCTTGTTTCTTGTTTTTTCTCATTCCCCTTCCCCCCTTCCATTCCCACCTCTCCCTAATTACAAAAGTTTTGTTTCCGTTTTTTTCCTACTTTTCTCTTTTTTTTCTTTCCCTTCCCCCACCCCGCTGTTTGTTTTTAAGACCTACCACTTCAAGGCTATACTGTTTTGCCTGTCTGACCTTCACATTTGTCCTTTTTGACCTTTGATCCTACAGCCTTCAGTATGCCAGAGGTGAATGTTGACAATAATGCCAGTTCAGAGAGCTTGCGCTGTGAGGCTCCCCGATGGTTCCCCCAGCCCACAGTGATCTGGTCATCCCAAGTTGACCAGGGTGCCAACTTTTCACAAGCCTCCAACACCAGCTTTGAGCTAAACTCTGAGAATGTGACCATGAAGGTTGTGTCCATGCTCTACAATGTCACAATCAACAACACTTACTCCTGTATGATTGAAAACAACATTGCCAAAGCTACAGGGGATATCAAAGTGACAGGTGGGTTTCTCAATGCTGTCCCTCCCCAACTCCTCCTCAGGGACACTGGAGATTGAACTCAGAGACTTGTGTATATGCTAGACAAATATTCTACCACTGAGGTATACCTTCAACCCTCTCTATACTTTTTAGTGTGGGTTTGCTCGGGAGAAAATACCATCTAAACTAAATCTAAGTTCTTTAACAAATATATATTAAGGCACAAAAACCTCTGGAGTCCTCTTCACTGAGACCTTGATCACAATTCCAGCTGGGATTGCACAGACTAAATTATCAATTTTAAGAGCATACCATCTGGAACTAAACTAAATGCAAACTGTAGAGGAAAGAGGTAATCAGGAGAATTGCTATCTGTATCAAGGCTAGAACTAGGCAGAAAATATCTTGCACATTATAAGTATAATAATGTGCAAGTAACTTGAATAGACAATTTTCCAATTATGATATACAATTGGCCAAAAAGCACATGGAAAATGCTTAACATCAGAGAAATGTGAATTACAACCACAATAATATATCACCTCACACCCATTTAGATGGCTACTATTTTTTTCAAAAAGCCCCAGAAAATAACAAATATTAGTGAGGATGCAGAGAAACTGGAATTCTCATGCATTGTTAACAGGATTGTAAAATGGTGCAACCACTATAGAAAACAGAATAGAGGGTCCTCAAAAAGTTAAAAATCTAACTATTACATGATCTAGCAATCCTACTTCTGAATATATAAAAGAATTCAAGAAGGGACTCAAAAAGACAGTTATATACCCATCTTCATAATAGCAGTATTCAAATTAACCAAAAGGTAGAAGCAACCCAAAATGTCTATTTATGAATGAATGGATAAACAAAATATGGTACATACATACAATGGAATAGTATTCAACCTTAGAAAGGAAGAAATCCCATCACATGCTATGACATGGATAAACTTCTGAGACATTATGCTAAGTGAAATAATGCAGTCAAAAAAGATGTACATAGTATGATTATACTTATGTGAGGTGGGGAAGAGGGATGTTGATGTTAATGAACGTAAAGTTTTAGATCTGCAAGATGAAAAAGCGCTGGAGATCTGTTTTACAATGATGTGAATATATTTAACACTACTGAACTATATATTTTTAAATTGGTAAGATGGTAAATGTGATGTTATATTCTTACTACAGTTTTTTAAGTATTTAAGAAAAGAGTTATGTATACATATTATGAAAGCTATTGAGGAACAAATTGGTGACCACCTTGGTTAGGACTCTCAGTTGCCAATGACAGAGAACCAACTCAAATTAGCCCAAGGTAAAAAAAAAAAAATTTATTCTAAAAGTACTGGGTTGTTTCTTGGAACCCAAGATAGGAGCAGTATTGACTTCAGGAAACAGCTGGAACCAGGAATTTATATTACATTGGGATTCTTTGTCTCTTCTATTTTATTCTCTTTTTACTCTCTTGCTTAACTCTGCGTGGCAAAATTTAGTTGCCAAAAGCTCCTATATTTAAAAATCTCTTTCAATTAGGAAAGTAGCCAGACTGGCTATCAAAAATATGTTTTCTTGGGGCTTGGGATTTAGCTCAGTGGCTCCATGCCTGCCTTGAAAGCACAAGGTCCTGAGTTTGATTCCCAGTAACGGGGGCGAGGGGGGGTATGTTTTCTCTTAGTGTAAGTTACCATTACTCTGTTTGTTTATTGTAAAGGTGGACATTTAGCATTTGCCGCAGTTTTCAATAAAGTCATTAAAATTTCAAAAAATGTTCATGATGGTCACAGATACAGGTGCCCAGTGTTTAACATATACCTAGTACATGATAGATTTAGGGGGAGGCTAAATCTTTACTTCACATATTTTCTTGGATGAGAAGGGATGCCTGTATAGGTAACATTTAAGTCTCCCTCTTCCTCTTTTATTCTTCCACAGAGGAGGAGTTAATTTATCTGATTTGTGAGCATATTAGGAGAAGCTGTATGTATATAGCCCAGCTGCTTTTTCTCCCTCTCTCTTTAGCTAATTTTCGGGAAGTATATCTTTTCCTTTGTTCCTCAGCCCATCGGTTTTTCAGGGGTAGAATCTGGCCTTGCAGGAAGAAGCCTGCCCTAGTCTGGCTCTGTCTCTCCCTGGGGAAGAGTCCAGGCTGCAGCCTTTTATTAAAGTATCATCCTTTATTATAAGACTATTTAGCAATAAAGGTGATATTTTGGTCTTCCATTTGCCTACTCTTTTTGTCCTTCTCTTTAATCAGTTCAGAGCTAAGCTGGGAAGAGGCCACTACTTATTGGACCCATTTGAATCCCAATGGTGGGTGCTCAAAAATATTTACTGAAAATTATGTTTTTAACTGATATATTTAGTAGCAATTGTAAATCCAAATGTGGAACTTGGGATGGAGTACAAGCTAAAGAAGCAGATTTGTAAATGATGAGCATGGACATGATGCTTATTAGGCTTGAGTGGGGTTACTATTAATGCATTTATAGCTAATACTAATTGAGTGCTTACTATGTGCCAGGCATACAGTTACCTTGTATGTATTCACTCCTTAATCCTCATCAGAACCCTATGCAGTAGGTTATTATTCTAGCCCTATTTTAAAGGAAGAAATTGCGGAAAATGTGTATTAAGTAACTTGTCTAAAGTCACTCAGCTAGTGACAGAACTGAAATAAACTAAATGAGATTGGATGGTCTAGTAAGAAGATAGAGCAAAAGAAAACTAATTTCATTTCTTTACTTCTACCTTTCTCCTCTTCAAAATGAAAACAATAATTCTTTATCTCTTTATAGAAGTGTGATGAAAGCTAATGACACCAAACCTGTAACGGCCACTGCCTGGAGGAAAAAAAGTGTCCCAAACCCAGGACTGGCAGTGGATATTTGGTTAGCCTATTCTTTATGTGGTACCCAATAACAATTTCTTTATTGGAATAGTTTTGCACTTGACTGAGTACTCACTGGGGTGGACCACAGAATGGAGCTTCCTTTGAAGAAAGGGAAAGCTTTGCTTTAAGCCAAGTACAGAAAGGTGAATAAGGTAGTGCAAAATAGCCTGTGTAAGGAACGCATTGCTGTTTTTCAGGTATTTTTGCTAACCAGCCATGTGAATAAGACATCCAGTTTCTTCTATATGACCCTGAACATTTGTCTTTCTCTTTATAGACTCTGAGATCAAAAGGCGGAGTCACCTAGAGTTACTGGACTCAAAGGCTTCCCTGTGTGTCTCTTCTTTCTTTCTCATCAGCTGGGTACTCTTGCCACTCTTCCCTTACCTGATGCTGAAATAATGTCCTCTGGCCACACAAAAACATGTAAAGTTACTGGCATAACAGGTGAGATAAATCACAGATGGTATGGAAGATTGGTTATACGTGTGCTTGTGTTCCTAAAAAGAATCAAGTAGCCTTCAGAATCAGCCACAGAAAGATCATTTCATGATGCCAGGCAAGTGGTGCTATTTCTAGTAGTACTGTGCAAGGTACTCATTTGTTAGCCTAACAGAAAACCAAGACCTCATTGACAAATTTATAGGAAAACCAACTCCATACAATTAAATTATTTGTATCAATTCAAACTTTTTCATTTATTGAGTCATTAATGAAGACAAATATAGCTTATTGAAGAGAGATGTTTAGCTCTAGATCTCACCCTAGATCTCACTGTCACTTACAAAGCATAATGACATGCACATTCCCACTTACGTAAGTGACCTTTCCCCCACCCCTCCAAGTGGCCCCAGGTGACAGGAGTGCTGGCAAATGACTCACCAGCTATCCCTCCTGCCAACACTTCTCATTCTCACTTCAGTTCTCTGGCTCTAATTGTTAGGGCATTTCCTTCTAAATATTCTACTGCATATGAAATTTGTATAAAACTGATCTTACTTACGAAGTCACAGTCAACACTCCTGCATAACTCAGTGTGATCCCCCCACCCCGCCCCCCGCCCCAAGCCTTCAGGCTCACAATCCTGCAGCTATTTTTGTCTGCCCTCTGTCCTTCCTGTCAGTTTGTTACCAACCCCTACAGCATTTTCCTGTGTGGTCTCTCAGAATGACCCTAATCCGCACTTCTCCACCTCACACTCTGACTGATTCTAAAACCATCTGCTTGCTCTTTCCTCTCCAGGTTTCAGGCGACAGGAAACAAGGTACCAGAATGAAAGCACCAGAACACTATTTCATCACAGTGTTTTTTTGCTTCAGAACCCAGAACGACTCTCTGAGCACTACTGAACCAGTTAAAGTCCTCAGCTTTGCAGTCACAGCCCTCTGACAGTTTCTCTTTCTGAGCTTCCTCCTTCTCCCACTACCTATCACTGCTCTATGGCCTTGCTCTCTCACTCCCTGCCCCATCTTGAAAATCTGCTCTATTCTATGGGAAATCATATCCATTCCTTCCTTTATCCATTTCAAGAAAGTTCTTCCTAACATGAGTCCCCTTTCCTGAAGTTCTTTGTATTCCATACCCCCTTAGCATGTATGTGTAATTTATATCTTACACTATGAGGCACATATATGCTTTGCCTAGATTGTTAAGACTCCAAGCAGTCAAAGGTCTATTGATCTGCTTCTTTTTGTCCTTTCTTTTGTTCTCCAAGCTCTTACTATAAAGCACAGTGCACAGAAAACCCACCAGTTCCCATCATTTGTAATCTTCCATGGTTGTCAGCAGGGGGTGATTTTCCTAAGGAAACTGTCTCTTGGGAATCTCACTAGTAGAAGATGGAACGCTTTCTTCTTTCCTTGATTTTCTACAACACTGTAAATGATTTAATCCTAGAACTAGATAATATGACTTATAAAGTATAGCTTATTCATCTGTACCATGTATTCCCTGACAACAATTATTTGCAGCCTTTTTAAAAACCAGGACACACATGTAAAGGATGATACTCTCGCACAGTACACCTAGGGTTATATGCTATTATCCAGTTACCTGCAGCTTCAACTCTTTCTCCCAAAATTCATAGCTTAAATCAGATACATTTTTTAAAGTAAAAAGATAGATCATCATTTGAGACACACATTATAACTGGTCATGACATTTTAGACCACACTCACCCCCTGGCTGGAAATTGAGGTGGAGCCTATCTTTCTACCTCCACTCAAGATCCTGCCCATACTTCATCTCTCATTTCCTGTTTGCATTAAGGATCTCTCTTCCCAGAGACTGTCACTGTGATAATCCCCCTTCAGGGTGAAATTCAAAACATCTCTTTTCCCACAGCAACCCATAGGACCATGTACTACGATAGAACAACATCAAAATAAAGAAAAAAATAAGTCCATTTTTAAAGAGGAGATAGAGTCACATAATGGCAGGGGGACTCTTGGTTCTCAGTAAACGTTTGTTGAGTGGCTTTTATGCTATCTTATTGCTATTATTTTCAGAATCCCAGGAATCTACAGAACTATTTTAACCTCCAGATATGACCTCCTTTTATATTTCTGGGAAAAATGAATTCATATGTAGAAGTCTGGAGTGAATAAACAAGAAAAAAGGAGACAAAAGCAACCGTTAGAAGACTCTAATATGAACAAGATAGATCTACCTTCAAAGATACATGTTAAAAGTTGGGAAAATCATGCACCTGAACTAGAAAAATGTATTAACATTCCATGTAAAAAGAAGTATAGTCTCATATCTCAGGGACCTCCCCTTACCAGTCAACTTCTGGGGAGTGAGAGGATGGGATATTGTATCTCTCTGTATCCTTTGTTTTATGTTCTGTAATGTTGCTCTGAAGGAGTTCTCAGAAAGTTTCAGTCACTACATGTTCACATCTTATAGTCTGCAAATTAAACTGTAGTGTATGCAATAAGGAGCTGCTAATCAGCTGTCACTTCACAACTCAGTGGCTGGATTTTAGTAAGGTTCAAATGATTCACTTTTCATTATGATGCTTTCAGTAGTGCCTTGGCTTCTCCCACCTGAAAAATGTCAAAGATGTGAAATACAATCATAAGTCCAGGCTAAACAAAATAATTGGGCAACGCTGATTTTCTAAATAATCTGAGCACCTTTTTTGAACAAACAAATGCCATTATATTTCCTAGGTTATGTTGATCTGTGAATGGCAGGGCAGGACCTCTCCCCTTACTATGTGGCATTATGTCATAGGCTTCTACTTTTTGTCTTGCATGAACAGTTTTGACCTCAGCTTTCAACAGAATCTAGAGCAGTGGGGGTGAACCTATGGCATGCATGTCACAGCAGGCTATTTGTAGCACTAAAAGTTCTAAATGGTTTGTCATCACTGATCTAGAGCATTAGCATTGAACTTGGGTGATTTTATTTCTCCTCTGATCTCCAAGGAGACATCTGTCAATATCTGAAGACATTTTTAGTGCTCAAACTCAGGCAAGACAGAGGATTGTGCTAGTGGTTCCTAGTGAATAGAGCCCAGGGATGCTGCTCAACATCCTACAGTATACAGGACATCTCCCCACAACAAAGAATCATGCAGCCCTAAATGTCAATCATGCCAAGAAAACTGATGTAGAGTAGAAAAGGAGAGAGCAAACAAATGTGCTTGCTTCCTGAAAACTGGGCATTTGTTTCTATCTCGTTGGCTACTGACTCAGCACAGAAAGTGAGATCTTTCACTGAACTGAGTCTACAGGATGTCAGAAATTCTTGATGGGATTATCTTCAGTTCACTGAGCTTCCAAGTGCTTTTCCCTTCATTCTATCCTGCAAACTAAGTTCCACAAGAAAGCTAAGTTCCATCTCAAGCTCTCTCACCGTGAATTTTAGATCTTAGAAAACTGCCTGGGCAAAATACAAATTAAGGCAACAAACATGTCCCTACTTGAAACATACAGAGCCTGTTGAGCTTTTCTTTATAGGGTGCTGGGTATCAAGCCCAGTGCCTTGTAAATGTTAGGCAAGTACTCTAGCATTGAGATTCGCCCCAGCCCACAAAGAGAATTCTGAAAGAAATCAGGGCAATGACCCTTGGAAACAAAACCTTGAGGAACACAGCTTTGGTGGAAAACAGTGTTTTGTTTCCAGCACCCTTCCCTCACTTTTCAGGTGACCATTGCCTCCCTGGCACTTTGGACTACCATGTCTGTATTATATTTTGTTGTAGAAAACTTCATTTTAGAGCTCTGTTCATTTAAGAGAATGATTAAATATGCATTTCCTACACTGTTGTCTGCCTCATTTGTCAAAGAGAGAGAAAAGGAAGATAGATTAAAAATCCATAGAACATGCTCTATGAACAGCACCTTCATAAATGTTTTTGAATGAATTAGAGATAAAGATGGGAGCCTGTAAATATGGGCTGAGCATCTGAGTATAGTTTCTTAAGAAAATTCCACTGTGCTTATACTATCCTAGCACATTTCTATCTGAGAAAATAGTGGAGGCACTGGGCTTGAGGCAGATAAATGTAGGAGAGGAGATATATATCTTTATCTATATAGATTTATAAATATAAATATATAGAGAAAATTGTCTAGTGTCCAAAAATCTCTTACTACTAAAGAATTATCAAATTCTCAAATTTTAGAACTGAAAGGGCTTCAGCTTTTCTAGTTCTTTCAATTTTCAGATAAAGACCCATAGGCCCAGGGAGTAGTGTCATCCACTGGATATCCTCAGGTAACATAACTTTCCAAGAGTCATACTAGTATTTGGTAGAAATATATAATCTATAGAAAATGTAATTGCCAAAGGGTAAATTCCTAGGGGATTTTCCAAACAACTCTGCCCTATAGTATTCCCAACTTGGTCCCAACAGACCTTTTGCAGAGAAAGACTATATTAATTAGCTTTCTGTCCCTGTAAAAAAACACTTGAGAAAATAAACTTAAAGAAGAAAAGATTTATTTTGGGTCACAGCTTTGAAGGGTTTTAGCCCATGGTCAGTTGGCCCACTGCTTTTGGGCATTTGGTGAAGCAGAATATCATGGGTGGGAGCACGTGGTAAAGCAAAGGTGTGCACCTCAAGGCAACTGGAGGTTTAGAGAGAGAGGAAAGAAGGGGCTGAGGTCCTAATATCTTCTTCAAGGGCATCCCTCCAATGATATAACTTCCTACCACAAGGTTCTACCCCTTAAACATTCTACTGCCTTTCAATAGTGCCACTGACTGATGACCAAGCCTTTCACATGTGAGCCTTTGAGGGACAGTTTAGATTCAAGCCACAACAAAGACGAAAGCTGAATCAAATTGAAAATGCATACACTCCTAATCCATGTTAATTCTTTGGCCTTGTCCATAAGCACATAGAAGATATACTAGAAAACAGATGGGTACACCAAAAACCAGAAGATGATGTCCACCATAAATATCTGCAAATATTCAAATCTAAATGCCAAAGGCTAAAACATTTCAGGAGTATAAAAACATTTGAAGGGACAAACAAGCCAAACTTCAAGGAGAAGTAAGAGCTACCAGCTATACCTATGTTGTAGGAACACTTGTTTTAAGTGGAAAATGGCCTCTATCTGGCATTATGAATTGTGGGAAAAGGCTGTGCAGGGGTTATTATTGCATAATAAAATGTAATAGATAGTGTGCTTTGGTTCTACTGATGATACACATAATTCCTCCTCTCCATCCAGCTGGTGAAGTCTTCACACATCTACCTACACTCTCTAATTAAGACAGTCTTACTGTATGCCTGAACAATTTTTGCTGAATCATTGCAAGGAATATCAATATGGGAGTTATAAGTAAAAATAAATAAGCAGAAAGAATATACTTTCTCCCTTCTTTCTTTAAATTTCACCCACCCTCAAGGTGCAGCAAAAATTCTTTTCCTGTGTGCTTTCTCTCAGTGGTCCAACACACACCATAATCTTAATCTCTTCTTTAGTCTATGTATGCAATTTAGCACAAAATCATGTTTTATTTTTTCATTCTTGTGCAGTTAGACTCCCTTGAAGATGATGATAAAATAACAATGGGGATCCAGGCCACCTTTGGAAATTTGCCCTATGAAAGAGGGTCAAACAAATCAGTCTTGTTTACTAATGATGTCTGCTGAGCCAGAACAGTTAAGTCACAGCCTGAAAAGGGAGGTCTGTAATTATCACCCCAGGAGTCCTTGTCTACTGGAGTATGTGGCTGCTCCGCATGTTGTTACTGTCTGGAAAAATCATAACTTTGACCTTCAGCTTTCTCTTTTCTCTTTACTTCAAATATATTGCCTGGCCTACAAAGTATCTTTATTATTTTCAATTGTAAGGTTCTTTAACCAAAACCCTAATCATTACTTCAAATATGAAGTTTAGACACTTTGGTCCTACATGCTTTCCTTAGAACAAGCAAAAAGTGATGCACAATTAATCTAGCCTGTGAGCTATTCGTGGCAGATTGAAACTATTTCCTTTCTCTCTGGTCTTCCATATTTGCAGTTACCAAACTATTTGTGACCATTCCATTATTATTAGAGAGAGAACTATTAGGTTTTAACAGATAAAATTGTTGGACCTTATGGTACTTCATATGACTTTAATGAGATGGTTAAGACACCCATAAATGATTCAAGTGGTTAGTTCACATCTTATACCTCGGGTAGATGAGGTTGGATATATGACAGGGTTAGAGGATAAAGATAGCAGTTTCTAGGGAAAAGCAGCAAGTACCCCTAGAGAAACCCAACTTACATCTTGTTAAATAAGACTCTAAAAGAAAAAAGGACAATTGTGTTCACTTCCTCTCACCTGCCCTTTAATAAATTTTACCCAATGGCCAAATAAACTCTTCTCTAAGTTCTTTGTACGCTCCACCTTCCCACTATTTCCATCAACCCAGTTAAAAGATACTCTCTGATATCTACCTACATGTGAGACAGTAGTTTCTCAACTACCTTTCTCAATAACTTAACAGATTGTTCTATGGAGGTAAATGTTTACTTCATTGAATAAAGCAGTAAGAATGAAGGATAAAGTATCACAAAAATATCAAACTAATCAGAGATACTTCGCATTTCAGTATAGATGTGATTCTCACCAAGGAGGTAGGGAATACTTTTTTGCAATACAGAGATTAGCACCTCTATGCATTATTGTTGGAGTCAAGAATCACTGTGTAATATGAGAATATGCTACCAATGTAGACATGTAACTATTATGGGTGTCTGAGGTTCACTGATGCAAATACCACCTTTATAGAGGGAAAGGACACTGAATGCCTACTATGTATCAAACATCATACTCTATTTCTCTCATTCAATCCTTATTGTAGAAAGTGAATATCATTTGTCCCTAGTACCATCACTATCACCATTTTACAGAGGACAAACCCTGACAGGTTAAGTAACGCTCATGATCACACAGCTAACAGGTTAACCAGAATTCAAACCCAAATTTTTCATCACAATCCATACTATTTTTAAAGAGCACAAACATATATAACAGTGCTATGTAAGATTTAAAACACTGTATAACTATTGGCTATCATGTTTATTGTTTGTATTAAGGTATGAGGACATCTTGGGAGCTCTCTGTTTTGTTGCTCATGAAGATCTTAGCTGTCTGTAAGGACAATAGCTCCTCCCCCTACAGGAGGCGATGATGACTCCTAATAATACTCAAGCCTTCTGACACAAAGGCTGGTTGTGAAACTGCAAGCTTCATCCAAACTCACTCTAAAAATTTATCTTGTGCAACTCTAACATAATGAATAAGGAGTACACATAGGTAGACATAATCTGAACAAAGATATACATATGTATGTATGTCAGGAAAATGGCTGGCTCCATTAAACCCCTTTCTCACCTCACCAAAAGCCAGATTATTTTATTTTACCTTATTTTATTTTATTTTTTATTTTTTTGGTACTGGGGATCGAACTTGGGTCCTTGCACTTTCGAGGCAGGCGGAGGAACCACTGAGCTAAATCCCCAGCCCTCAGATTATTTTACATATCTACTTTTGAAGTCAGGCCTGAGCATATTCTGAGCAGAGCTGCTGCTGTGGGAAAAATTTAAATTGGAGTCCCTGTTTAAGTAGTATCTACCTCATTCAATTACCATGACAATTAAATGAGACAAATAGTAAAAAGCAGGTATTACATCATCTGGCTGTGCTAGTTTGCTAAGGCTATGTTATGGCTTGTATCTAGATGCCCCCTCAAAGACTCATGCCATTGCAGATGGGGCTTTTCAGAGGTGGTTACATCTAGGGTGTGAGAAGCTAGGATCAAGGATGGGATGCTGGGACCGACTCCCAGTGCAATGATAGGATTAAGGGTGTGAGTACTACCGGCCCTAAGGATGAGTAGCCTGGATAAAATATGAGACAGAGAGTTGCTGTTGCCATTGCTTGTCACTTGCTGCTGCTGCTTCTCTGCTTTGCTGCCTTCTTGCCATCTCCCTGCCATGAACTCTTTCTCCTCTGCGATGCCCCTCTGCCATGCCATCCTGCTTTGGAGCCAGCCAACTATGAACTGAAACCTCTACAAACTGTGAGCTAAATAAACCTTTACTCCTTTAACTTTGGGTGTCAGGTATTTTGTCTCAGTAACAAGAAAAGTAACTAAAACAGGCTACCGTAATGAAATACCACAGGAGGGGTGGCTTAAATAAATTTATTTTTCATAGTTTTAGAGTCTGGAGATTCAAGATCAAGGAATTAGCTAGGCCTGCTTTTGTAGTGTGAACATCTATCTTTTTTCTGTGTCCTCGCAGTCCTTTTCTTTTTTTTTTTTTTGTTAAATTCTTTTATTGGTACATTTTAGGTATATAACACAATTACATTTCTCATTGGGAATTGTACCTTTACATAATGCATCTTGGTTCTTATTTTATAGCAGTCCTTTTCTTTATGTGAGTGTGGCCTGTTGTCTCTTCTGTCCTTGTAAGGACATCAGAAATAACTGGTTTAGGGTCCCACCCATTTGATACCATTTAGCTTAATTATCTCTTTAAAGGCTCCATTCCAAATCCGTTCATATTTGGGGATATACTAGGGGCTAGGAATTCAGCATATAAATTTGGGGGAATAATTTAGTTCATAACACTTGCATATATAAAGGAACTAATAAAATTAGCTATTATTAAGTATATATGTTGGCAGAGTAAATGAGTATCAAGGAATTAGAACAAGAAAGATATGAACAAATTTGGTTTTTTTCCTCCATTTGACCAAGAATAGCTGTTCAATGTTTGAACGGCTGGGATACAACAGAAAGTCT